AGTTCTGCAAGGTAGTATGGCATTACTAAGGTTAGTATAACTTCCTGAGGCATAATTAGAATTGTTCTGCAAGTATTATCAAATAAGCTGAAAACTTGCAATATATGGTAGTATAGTATCATTAGAGTCAGAGAAACTTCTTAGGTATAACCAGAATTGTTCTGTTTGTAAGCACAACAAGTCTCAGTCTCTACTATAGAAAGAAGCATCATGTTGGAGATTAAATGTAGCATCAAGTTATTGTATAATGTTAAGACTTAAAGCATCTGCAAGAATAGTAATAACAGATCTAACTTAAGATATGGATTGGTCAAAAAGACCAATGGTGACAGCAGATCTGGCTTGAGATACAGGTTCATTGCAGATCCTAGATTATTGTCAAAACACCTTAGATAAATCAATAACAGGCATACCAAAGATAAAAAGATTATAAGAATTAAACATATCTAAATAGGACCAATTTGGAAATCGTACAGTGACAAAAAGGTGAGAAATGTAAAAAACAAGGTAATACTAGATATAGTTAGATTAAGAGGCAAAAAAAATAAGACTAGATAAAACATGTAAATAGGACATATAGGTATGATTTACAGAAGACAGTACTCCTAGTATTTGGAATATCATATTATGTTCAGTAGGTATTCTTGTCTATATAGCAGTTTAATAGTATGCTCTAACTGCAAGTGGTTGTTAAGATAACTGCATGCAGGCATGCAGTAGACATGCACTTAGATGCTATAAGGGTAACTGAGTAAAGTCAATAGTGTAAAAATTGGATAATATATAGTACTAGTAATAATCAATCTTAAATATAACTGTAAATTTGTACTATATTAAATTAAAGCTAATAAACTAACTGGCATTGTTACCAAAGTTCAAAAAAAAAATTTTTATTTATAATAGTTCTTAAAATGATTTTGATAAATTTTTTTCAAGTTTAAAGTATAATATATATGATTTGTGATCTTTATTAAAATTTACAACTTACAAATATTGTAGAAAAGTATAACATTTTGCATATTTATAAAACTGCAATTAGTTATTTGTACAATTTTATTCATTGTATATTTAAATATTTTGTTTACAAATTACTTACTAATTACTATATCTAAAATTTGCTTATAGGTTCTCTATTTAAAATCTTTGATTTTTAATATATAAATATAATTTTTTTAAAAAAAGTCTATTATAATTATAATTTCTAAGTTTAGTACTAATATTATAAATATAAGCTCTTAATAGTTTTATTATTATTATAGTAATTTTTATACTTATTTCTTTTTTTATATTATATAAATTTTATAGTTAAATATATAAATATAATAGTAAAAATTGTTTTTTTTGGTATTAAGGTAATCTTTTTAGTTTTTTAACTTTTAATAATGACTTTTTTGGTAATATGATTCTATAAACTATTACAGAAGAGTATACAATTAGCTACATATATAACTTTTTTATATTATCTATTTAAGAAGTTTGTTTGAAGGTTCTCTATTAATTGCTATATCTAATACTCTTACTTGAATGTTCTATTTTAAATCTTCTGAATCTGTAATTTGTATTAATATCACTAAGTTATACCCAAATGTTCAGATCATCATCTTAATCTTAGAACTATTTTATCTTCAAGATAAACCTTTCAGACTCTTCTGTACCTATTTTTATAGCTAATCTAAATATTACTATAGCAGAACCAATACTTGTAGTTAGAGTTATATTATTTAACTACTATTTTCTTGTAAAGGTCATATAGACTTCAGCATCTACTTCAAAGCATAATCCTAATATTTTAGTATACCTCTGTCTTTTGTTCAGCCTTTTTTATTAGATTCTTAATTCAGATAGTCTATATAGAACTATGACCAGTTTATTATTATATTAAATTAGCCTAATATCTTTTTTCTTTAATTTATTTTAGCAATCTGATTGGTGGTATCTTCAAAACTTCTAACTTGAAGGTTCTTGTTCATTTAGTTACTATAACTGAGTACTACAACATGGTATTCATTTTCTCAGACTAGTCTTTACAATAGGGCTATCAAAGATCTGACTACTTTTCTACTTAGATTTTTCCAAATAGACTTCTTGTTACCCAATTTTAACAGATTTAAATAGTCTTAAAAACTTATCTAGTGTTTGTATTGTTTAATTTGTTGGTTTGCATTTCACTGTATAACTAGTTACACAGATATCTTATGCTCTGCCAGTTATATTAATATGATCCTATTACAGATATCCTAATTTAATTGTTAGTAGCAGTTGTTATAATATTAATATTATATATACGATTATTCAAATTTTTACTATTAATAGGATTTAAACATCCAACTTATCACTTGGAAGGTTGACAACCTGATCACTTCACTAGGTTGGCACATTCTAATAATAAAAATTATTATTAATAACTTTTAAATAATTTGATATAATAAATTTATTTTATTTATGCTTATTATATAATATTGTTTTTTTAATAATATTTTAGTTATAATTGTAATTTAACATATAATTTAGATTTTGAACATTATAAGTAATAATTATAATTTTGTTATATATAGTTAAAAGATTGTATTTTGTAAAGTTGTTTTTAGTTTAAGAGATTGAGTTAATTTTATTAACTTTGTTATTTATTTTGTATAAAGATAGAAAGTCTTTTAAATTAATTCTAATAGGGATAAAAGTGTAAATAGATATTTAGAATTTTTTTTATAATATAAAATTTAAAATTTTTAATATTTTAATAGCTTTATTTTGTTAAATAATAAGAGGTTTAGGTTTGTTGTATTTTTTTTATATTTATTTTCTTTTTATATTTTTTGTTTAAATCTTAAATCTTCAGTTTTGTTTAGTTGTTATATTAATTTCTGTATCTTCTAAATATGTTTTATTAATTATTTGTATTTAGCTTTTAAATATTTTCTAGAAATAGTATATTTGTCTAAGCATGCAGATTGTTTTAATAAGTCATTTAAAAGTATTAATCAATAATATTAAATTTTATATAGTAATTTTAGTATATTCTATAAGTAATTTAAGTTTGTCAATTAGATTAATTATTATATTTATTTTAGAAAAAGATATAATAAGTTTGTATATATTTTTTTATATATAAAATTTTTGTTATTATGTTATTTGTAATTATAAAAAAGTAAGTATTGATAGTTTTAATTTTGAAGTTTTTTGAAAGAGTTAGTTTTGCTTTAAAATAATTATTTAAAATAATTTAAAAAATACAGTTTTTTTTTAATTCTTCTTTTATATTTTTTATATATACTAATATAATAAATATACTTTGTTTATTGAAAGATTTTGTCTAAATTTTAGATTTTTAATATTTTAATATATTTATAAAAGATAGAGTTTAATTAAAATTAGATCTAATAAATTAACATAATGATTTTGTATTTTTTTAAGTTATAATAGTTCTAAAGTTATTTTTTATAACAAACTAATTTTTTTAATTTTTATTTCTTTGTAATGAAAAAAAATCTTATTGTTTTATTCAAGTTATTAATATCTGTTAATAAAAATTGAAGTTTAGTAAAGTAAATTTTAAAAAGTTAGTTAAAAGAATAAATTTTATGTAATATCATAACTATTATCCTTGTTTATAATTTGTATTTAATAGACAAAATCAAGAAAAATAGTTTTTGTATTTTTTTGAAATAAGTTCTGATAACTTAGATAAATTACTAAATAAAATATGAAGGTATTGTTAAGTACTTTTATATTATCTATATCTATTGCTGATTTATTTTTTATTAAGTTTTTGTAGTATTTTATTATTTTTGATATATATTTAAAAATTATATTTTTAAGTTTAAATTTGTTATATAGTCTATAATTACTTTTTTGTCTTAATTTTAAGTAAATTAGGTTTTATATATTTCTGTTAATAATGATAACTGTATTATTATCTTATAATTCTTTAATATATTAGTAAACAGTTAATTGTATTCAGCTATTATAATATAAAATAGTTTGCATATATAAAATTAATAAAGAAAGTTAAATCTATATATTTAAATTTTATTTTTATTATAAAAAGAATTAGTTTTTCAGTTAATATAATTTGAATTTATATATAATAAATGTTTATATTTTTTTTTGAATTTATATGTTTAATTATATTATTATGTTTTTATTTTTTGTATTTAAATGATACAATAATTTTTGTTTTTAGACTACATTAATATATTTTGTTTATATTTTTGCATAATTAGTTTTTATTTTTATTATATTACTTATATTTTTTAAATAATTTAACTATATACAAATTTGTTTTTAATGTTTGAAATATTAATATTATATAAAAGAATATTTGTTTGTTCTATTCTATATCTATTTAATTTCTTTATTCTAAATTTGTAACTTGATTACTATTAGTAATTACTTTTAAAAGTTTTGTATATTAATAAATATAGATTTATAATGTTTTAGTTGTTTGATTTCTTTTTATAACAATTTAAAACTGTATGTTATATATAATGATTACTATATTATTATTTTTTTAGTAATGATTATTGTTTCTGATTTGTATTATATTATTAATATATTAATTTGTATATGATAATGTTATCATTTGTTTTATTAAAAGTATGTTATATTACTTATTTTTACTACTAGATAGATGTTGAAATTGAGTAGTATATTTTTTTTATAAATATTTTTGTGAATAACATTTAGGTTAGTATAATATTATTGTTACTTGTAGAATATTTGTAATTGTTATTTACTGTGCCTAGTATTTTAACTTTGAAATTGGTAAATACCATTGATCTTGATAACCTTGATCTGTTTTTTTTATTAGTATTGTTAAGTTTTCTTTTTCTTCTTTCTTGTATTTTTGAAACTATTGTATTTCAGATTGTATATTGTAAGAATAGTTTTCTTACTCAAAGTGAATTTTTTTATTTTGGTTTTTTTTATATTATTAGTTGTTTTGTCTATTTTTTATTTTTTACTTTATTGATTTTGTGTTTTGAGATTTGCAAGAAAGAATATCAAATAAATGTTTCAAGAAGAGGTTTTTGAACACCTCTCTATGGTTTTTTACATTGTTTTCTTATTCACATCATCTGTTTATCTTTTTTTACTAACATCTTTTTTCCTTTTTGTAACTCAATTTTCATTCTGCTAGTAATTTTGCATTGAGTTTCACTCTTCCAATGATGACAACCCACTATTGTGCGACGACGCACTTACACGGCTACATACTTTTCTGTCAAGTTAATATTACCTTGAAAGATGTCAAGCTATATCGAGTAAGTGCTTTTTGTTCAATGGGGCTTGGCTTGTACACTAAACTGCAAGGGGGATCGTCGTTCAATTATTCTGGTCATGGCACCGACGGTTTTTCGTGGGTGTCTCAAGGGTCGTCTCGCGATGGTTTTCCAAGGTCCAAAATCGGGTTTGCCTATGACAATATAGGCTATGTGTAATATAGACTATGTGTAATATATACGTATTTTTTTTTTAATTGACAAAATATTTGCGTTAATCGAAGTTGCTTTTTAAGTGATCATCCGGTCTACAGTATTGTCCGGGCGATTACCGGATTATCCGATCCCAACCTGGTACACATTTTCTGGGTGCACTCAAATTTCAATGTGATGCAACTCACTTTTAAATCCATAAACCCAATTTCACAAGATATATACTAAAATAGTGTTAGTAAAATGTTAGTTCTATAAACAAAGTTAGAGCAGAAGATGGATCATTTTCCAATAAGTGAATTCCAAATACACATTAAATATCATAAGAATCTTGAGTCTCGTTCTAACTCTAAGTACTACCAATAAAAGTGTGATGATGACCGATATCCAATATAACCTTATTCTGCTATCTGACATCTACACAGAATTTTCTCACTAAACAGATAGTGACAATGGTTAAAATAATTTAACTTTAAATTCAAGTTGAATCGTTTAATAATAATTTTTCTTGTAATACTGTATCTTTTTTTTTAAAGCGGATTATTTTATTCCCGATTTCGTAATGTGTAGGTTAATTAATATGGACTAATCGGGGAAAAAACATGTTGTACACGCATATGCACAAATCATACATCGATATGTAGTTAACTCAACTAAATTCTCCAAATTCTCCGAATTCTGTTAGATTTAACCTAGTATAATCGGTTTTCAATTTAATGAAATCCAAATCTCTTTGAACTTAATACCGTTCCGACCTAAGAAACCCAGGAAATTTTGTGGCAAGTTTCTTCATAGTGAACCCAAATAGATACATGTACAGATGTATAAAATCTACAAATTTAACTATTGTACATAGCAATCTAGTTCCCTTGTCAGACACTATAATTAAAACTTAACAATTAATAATACAACGAACGTTATCTCCACTAAATTTTCTAAAAAAGGTGAGGATAAAACGAAGTGACCTAAAGTTATTAGCCAAGATTAGGTTTTAGATTAAATTAAGAGGCAAAATGTATTCCCGCCATTTTATTGTATGGTCTAAAAATGGATGTTTTGTCACAATTTTTTAAGCCTTGCACTTAAGTTCATGATTTGTTATCATCATACCCGGTAATTTACAGATACATAGATCAGATGTCCAATCGGAATAATTCACCTTATCGTTATTGTTCAAATATATTATTTGTAACAGTGAATAACAAATAAATTATTATTGGTTGTTGTTATCTTCATATGCTTATTGATACTGCTGAAAAAACAAATTATTACTAATTTGCAATTATAGTAATAACAATAAATAAATTTCATTGGCTGAAGGCTTATCTACGCTTGTTTGATAAATAAAACGGCAATTGACACAATTTGTTTGTTCGATTGAGAACTCAAATAAAATTTTATTATGAAATAGGTGTACATTAAACTATAATTAGTTTATGTTAACAATACACAATTAAATTGTAATTGGCTAACACTAATAACAAAATATGAATGCATGTTATAAATATCGATATTATCTGACTCAGATCCATTGTCATTCCAATGTTATAATCGATCATGTTACCTTTGCAGATCGATAATATTGTTATATTAGCATTTAGTGAAGTTAGTCTTTAAAGCTACATGATTGTTTATATTGCGTGAACTTGCATTATAAACATTTAGAGTCGAAGAATTTTCTTTTACCGTACATTCGTTACACTATGATAGGAAAAATAATTTCATAAACGGGGAATATTTTTATATCAGGTAGTAATGTATTTCATAACTATAATATAATGAAAAACCTCTTAGCAAAATACTGTGAACGTTAACATAAATAATGTACAAAAGAGTGTATAATTTGATGTACTGTAATTAATGAATGTGTATAGTATTAAATTACGTACTATTCAGTACAGTATTTGTTATCAATATCATATTTAATTCTAATTTAATAGCATTCCGAGTAATATGGACAAAATTGTTGGTAAAACGTGAGATAAAGGTTCTATCAATGTTTTAAGTTTTAATAAGTGTGGTACAATTCAACATTTAGCTTTTAATGTAATATGCACTTTTAAAAACTTCTCCCGAAATTATTCAAATTCCTTTTACAAAAATTGACCCAATAATCTCTAATCAAATATTAATATTGTTATTTGATTGGTTTATTATCACGTTGTTAATGATAAGTTAATTTAATAATAGATAATTTAATAATAGATATTTTCTTAACCGATTTAATATAATTATAAAAAATACTATGATTAAACGTTGACGATAATTAAAGTTGAGTCGGTTGAACTAATCAGATTTAAAATAGCCCTTACCAGTTTAAGACTATTCAAAATATGATAAGATATATTATCGCAATTCTGTTTTGGAATTCTATTATAATATTCTATTTTAGAATCCTATTTGATCATCCTATTTAAGTATGATTTGATATTCGATCAGAGATCAATAGATCAATAGTTTGCAAGTAGATCAGTACAATAAAGATCATCTGAGAATTAAGTATGATTGGATGTTTTGTAACTTTGTCTTATACAACCGAGCAAAGATATTTTAGCAACCGTTAAATGAATAAGAGTGATTAAAATTTTACACGAAAATGTTAATGATTATTCATTTAACTTGATTAAAAAGGAAAAGGAATTATTTTAATTTATCATTACTCGTTAAATAACATAAAATACAAGAATAAATATAACTTTTTTTTAAAAAAGTATTTCTAAAATAGAATTTTGCTTATAAGACTATTTTTTTGATCTAACAAGAATTTTTTTGCAAAAACTTTGTTTAAAAAAATGTTAAAAACAATGTTTTATTTATTATTTATTTTTTAATTTGATTAGAAAGTGGTGATTTATTATACCAATAATAAATTATAATTTTTAAACTTTATTTAAAAAATTAAATTATAATAATTTTTACTTTATTTATTTTGAATTCGATATTCACAGATTTCAAAATAGTTATAGTCAGCCTGATTTAAAGTTAGCTGGAATTAGACGTCAAGGAAATGATATAAATCCTTCAAAATGAGTTAGTTATTTGTGCTCATCAATACACAGATAGAACAATAATATGTTTTTCTAAGTATTCTTTCAAAATATTTGATGTACTATATAACTTTTCTAGATATTTCCTTCAAAATGCATGTGAGAAAAAATTAGGTAATCTAGAAAATGTTAGAAAGTTTCATAGCCGATCAAACGTTCTTTTAAATAATATATGCTGGAAAGGCAAATACGTCAATTTAGTAGTGTATATAGCATTTATGCTGTACATGAAATCTATCTAAACTCAACAACTCTCATTCCCAAACCTATAACGATTTGTCACAACAATATCTGAGAGCGTTAATAACAAAACACAACTAAATGTATCCATCAATATCCGACATTCGGTATCTTTGTCCAAAATTTTCTCATTGACGAATAGCACGCATGCATATGCACGGTTAATACCGATGGTACCAATAGATATAAGTAAGAAAATTTGGGTTTAACCGGTCCGAGTTTGGTTTCCTAATTATTACAAAATTGAATGATGAAATATTACAAACGAAATTCTATTATTCAAAATTTACTCGATGATCATTACCGTTTAATTGTATATCAATAGAATACTTTATCGATTCGATAATACGCCTAACATGTCTTGTTAATTTAATAAGGCATCTTGATAGATAGGCATTATCCCATTAGAAAGTAGTTTCTTATCGTCTTATCTTCATTTATAATGATCTAACTAACTCTGTTTATTTGAAGTTGGGTTAGTTTCAAAATTTGTTGCATACTAAACTAGTGACTAGTGTAATGTAGACAATAACCAATAGATATTCAACACATTCAGCCTAACTTTAATTAGAAATTACACGCATATTATTTTGACCAGTGCTATTTAAAATGAAGGCGCAGTCTTAACAAAAATTTTTAAAGTTCATTATAGTTAAGGTTAGCGGTTATACTAAGGTTAAAAGATTAGATAATTTTTATAGTAAAATCACTGAAAATTCTGATCGTGTTACGTTATACTGTGATCCTGAAACATCGATTTCAAATATAACTACTACGTAGTACAATCACAAATTAACCAGTTTAAACATGATAAAGATCTAGTAATTATTTCTGACAGACCAAATTCAATAGCAATAGTAATAAAAAAAAAAAAATAGTATCGCAAACTTGTCATTATTACTTTTATTTACGCAAATGCAAAATTTTAATGATATTATTACAAGGGTAAGGAATGCAAAAAAAGAAAATATTTGAATTTTGCAAAATGCTAATATTTATAATGAATGAACAAATGAATGAACAAAAATGAATAATGAAAAGGACATTTACTATTTGTTATGTTTATGAAATATTAAACGCTAAACAATGATAATGAATGTAATTCTTTTGTTTTTTTTTTTTTTTTTTGTTGGATGTACTAATATTATTTGAAAAATGTGGCGTACACTTTTTTTTTAACTTCAAATTTAAAAGAAAATTTAGCGTCATGAACTGTATAAACAAAAAGGAAAAAAATAATAATAATTATATATATAATTTAAAGGAAAATAAATAGAAATAAAGCATTAAACTTTATATACCAGGCAGATTCTAAATTATTAAATTAGAAATTTCTTTTAACTGTTCCAAAAATTAATGTCCGCCCATGAATACTCATTAAAAATGGTACCAATGAAACAGTTATTACAGTCAATCCTATTATCATGAATCCTGTTCGTAGGTCACTAGAATATGCTTTAAAAATTGCTGCAAATATTAAGCCTCCAATATTACCTCCTGCACCTATTAACCCTGTAACTATTCCTACAGCTGCTGGATCAATGTAAGGAACTATACCAAATGAAGTACCACAACACGCCTAATAATATATTATAAAGAATTGTTATTGATTATCAATTAATTAAATAAACATTATAATCATAAAAATTTACCTGCGTGAATAGGGAAAAGCATCCCATTAAAATAATAGCTGATACGAAACTTCCACTCATAAATTTAAAAAGAATTAAAAATAATCCTTGGAGTAAAAAGCATAAAAATTGTGTCAACAATCGACCACGAACACCCATTTTTCTATTCGCAAAATCGGAAACTAAACCTCCACAAGCACGAGAAAAAATATTCAAAAGTCCAAATATTGATCCAAATAAACCAGCAGAAGTTTGAGAAATTCCAAATGTAGAAAATAAAAAAATTCCGATAACATTATCTACAGCTACTTCCACTCCAAAACAACATGCGTACATTACCATCATTAAAATTACATTAGGATTAATGAAGACAAGAAGGTAATGAATGAAGACAGGAATTTGATTATATTCTATTTCTTGTTTTATTTTAGGTTGTTGTTTTGAATCCTTCTCTCCAAATTGAACATAACCTCCATCGGGTTGGTCACGATAATACCAATCACCTTCGGGACAATCATCACTAAAAAAGTATGTCAATATACCAACTGTAAAACATAGAAAAGCCGGAACGAGCATAGATAGACGCCAAGAGATATTATCAGGAAAGAAATGATTGAATATTTCAAACACCAAAGGCATAAGTAAGTAAGTAACACCACCACCCATATTACCCCAACCGGCTGCAAACGCGTTAGCACTACCCACAGTGTTTGGATTAAACATTTGAGTTGTCCAGAATTGACAAGGTACAAATGACGCGCCTAGAATACCAATAAAGAATCTGAAAGCTATCAGAGAATTTGCACCTTGTGATAAGCTGACAAGGGCAGTAGGTATAGCACCTATGATAAGTATAGCAGACATGACACGTCTCGCACCAAATTTTTCGCATAACGGACCAGACAATACACGAAATATTATTGTTGAAGAGACGGCAGCTATATTACAATCACCAATTTGGTCATCGGTTAAATTTAAATCTTTTTTAATAGAAGGCAATAAGGGTGCAACTGCAAACCATCCCGTAAAAGCAGTAAGGAAGCAAAACCATGAGTAATGGAGAGCTCGCATATGAGGTCTAGTGAAATTAAATACATTTATGTCAGTAGCCTTCCTTGTTGCAGGATCAACAGGAGGTCTTCTTGTTGTAAAATTAACCATGTTTTTTTTTTTTAGGAAATGACTGTAAAGAAGCTCGATAACCCGTAAAAAGAAAAAAAGTCTATTTGATCCCTCAAGGAGAATTTTTATTCAGCACTGCAGGTTTTAGCATTTATGAAGTGTTACGACATTCATAAAAACTGTTGCACTGCTTATAATCTTTCGAAAAGAAAAAAAATTTTTTTTTTTTATGTATACATAATATGATTTGGATATAACAAGTGTGACTTTCGGATAATTAAAATCCTAATAATGTACATCTAATTTAGAAATTTTCATCAAAAATGAAAAAAAATGATTCTAATTTTATGAGTAACAAATATAATAATGCATGATATGATAATAAAATGTTTTGATATGACATGATAATGCACATGGCATTCTTATCATTGAGCACATGATCATGAATAATAGATATTCCATATCGGATTGTTTTGTTTACTAACCGTTATCTTTGTTTTTCGTTTACCTCATATTGTCCAATTACCATTTAAAATATGCATTTATGTACATTTTGACACACCAAGATCGTTACACAGAATAATAATCCGATTATACATTAATTTTAAGCGAAAGAATCCGGTTCTTCTTGATAGATAATTAATCGTTTCACGGTTTAAAGTTTTGTGCATATAGGTAGCACATGAATTAAGTTGTACATAATTGCTGATAACGAAGAATTGCTCGACCTTTTTAAAGCCTAGACAATTCAATCAAGTAAAATTATTTGCTTCTCATGATTCATTCATTTTTTTTCTTACCTTCATTATTCACCGATCTATTACCCTTGATTACCATAATAAATCTAAAAAAGTTCAATGGCTGATTTATTGGCTTTAGGCTTTATAGGCCTAAGTTTGCTCATCAACATTGCTTGTCTCTTTACTCTTTTATATTATTGCATCACAAAGTTTACCTTCTTACGACTTTCATGGTAAAAATTTACTTTTAAATTTGATTGATATTTTAATAATATAATAGACTTTTTATTTACTAACCGTTTTTAAAAATCATTTTTAAAAATCATTTTTATTTTTATAAATCATTAGCACTTTATCAAATTTAGTCAATCTCGCCATAAGTGGAGGGAACCTGGTTCGAGTTATATATCCAGATTTTTCACCCATGTATTATTGGCTTGGATATGAAAGCATTTCCGCGATTTATGCAACGATAGTATGGTCATGTCTTTTAATTACAGGAACAAGATTTTATAGAGAAACAAATTTGAAGGAACCTTTGTTAATATTTAGTATTATTTCATTAATAACCTTAAATGCTATATATTGGGTAACCGTTATTCTCACCTTGAAGCAAATGAAATCAGAGCCGGATTTGATCGTTTTAATATTTCAAGCAATCTTTTGGATGATATGTGGAATGTGTTCATTTATTTATACTTTTACACCGATTTTAACAGTTCATTTTAATCATATTGGTTTAAAAGCAAGATTTGATGTTGAAATTAATGGAGATATTAATTGTAAAGATAGTGATAATAATACTAGTAATTCATTTGAAAGTATTCCTTCAGTTCGAAATTTAAACGATGCAAGTGCGCAAAAATATTCTATTAGTTCTAAGAATGCCGCTGTAGGATCTTGGTATATGATCACTATAGGTTTCTTAACATTAGGTTATGCCGTTTTTTATATTATCATTTTTATCACACCTTCATTTGTACCTTATCATCCGATTACCAATTCAGTGGATTTTATACTTAGAACCATTTATTTGGGTGTCTACGGAATACCTCCAACAAAAGGTTTATTGCAATGGGTAGCAAGAAATGTATTAGGAATGAAAGGAAATTTAACATCAATTAAAGAATCTAGTATGCATACTGATGAACAAAGTGCTTAATAATTAATTTCATTAAAGACTAAAAAAAAAATTTTAAAGTTCTAAAAAAAAAAAAAAAAAAAAATCATTAGATTCATGTAGAACATGATGAAATTCGTGATGTTAGATTTTTTTTTATGAAATTTGGATTTGGTTTTTTTTTTATTATGAGAATGCTTTTATAGTCATAATTTTTTTTCTCACAATTAGCATATATATAATAACAATGTACTTCTTTTTTTTTCTTGCATAATAGCAATGTATTTTTAATATGTTCATGTATTCATACATTTTTTTTTTCTTTTTTTTTTAAGTGAGGTTTAATATAGTATATATTTAAATAAATAAATTGCATAAATTTCTTTTTCCTGTAATTCAAATTATATATTATATTAAAGATCCTTTATTAAGATTTTCGTGCTAAAAGTCTCATAAATTTATAAATGTTAAATTATTAAGTATATTAAGTGTTAATGACATTATTTCAATGAGGTTTAGTCTTGAAAATGAAATTACATACCATTTTCGAGGCAAATACCCTAAATACGTATGTTAAGATATTAAATATATTAAAATATAAAGTATCAAGGTAGATATTCAGTATTAAAGTGCTAAGATATTAGGTTAGGATACTGTTATTAGGCAAACCTATTTTTGGCAATAGCGAAAGTCGAAACTAAACTCGGCAGAAGTTGAAACTCTGGCGAAACGGCGAAACTCTGGCGAAATTGGTAAGACTTTGGCAAAACCCTAGTAAAGCTGAAACCCCTAAAGGAATTCAAACACAGTGAAGATCAAATCCTCTAAGGCTTTGAAAAGACTGAACCATGTTAGTGAATCAAAATATTTTGCATATGGCTATTAAGCATAGCGTATGGCTTATAATATACAAAGGCAATAAATAAAGTAATAGCCTTTCGTTTGTATTCGAGTACTATTGAAGCCTGAAATCTTGTTTTTTCGTAGCGCTTATTTATATATTAATATTATTCATGTAAAATAAACTTATCTAAATATTTAAATAAATTTATTGTTATATTGTTATGAACTTTAATTAAATACTACATATATGTAAGTAATTTGTCAACATCATTATTACTGGCAATTATTTTCTGATGCCATATTCTATCTGGCCTAAATCTCAAGACTAACTTTAAGAAATAATTGTTGTATTATTACTTATAATAGATCAAGTATAGTAAAAAATAAATTTGTATTAGGTTAAGATTAAATATTAGATTGAATAAAAGTCTATGTTAGAAGTAGTAATTATATTCATTCCAAAGGCCAAACCTGAGCATCTGTAAGTAGATTACCTAGATAGTAATATTAATAAGTATAGTTATTTCTCTTTTTAAAATACAATAGATGCTTATTTAAATAACTAAAATTTACTTTAAATATTTATCTATTATTTTGAGATTAGTTAATTTTTTTTTTTTTTTTTTTTTTTTTTTTTGGTATTAAGGTGAGGTTTTGCCTTTATCTTTATTAATAATTTGTTACGGGCAAC